ATTTTTATTAAAGTGGCTTGTTTACTTCAGCTGTAACAAGCCTGGTGGAATGATTTTTTTCCCATGTTGTACCAAGCTGTGTCATGCTTCCTGGGTCAGATTGGTGGGCCTCCAGCTCCATGATCAGGCTGAGCCGCTGGAGAACATTTCAATTTACCCCCCTTACACAGGTGAAGCAGCGGAGTGATATCCGGACAGACGGCCTGTTATGCAAAAATATGTGTGACAAAGCACTGGTGGCTTTTTTCTTTAATGTTTACTGAGAAGTAGCCTCAGGAGGCAGTGAATGCGATCAGAGGGTTGGCAGTGTGAGGTGACACTTGGATCTTTCCCCTTTTATTGAAATGGTTTTATTTAGCCTTCTTTGGTCCCCCAGAGAAATAGCTGGAAAGGCAGTTTTGATTGCAAACATGGCTGATAGTGAAGGTGCTCAACTCTCCTTCTTGCTGCTAGTTTTTCAATAAAATATGTCACTTCCTGAGGCTGTTTTTCATTAAGGAACCAACCTGTCCTAGCTTTGTGCACATATTTGCATGTAGTGTACATTTCATTCCTTACACTGATTGTCTGGCCACATCCCCAAAGGAGATGCCAGTGGTTTTGCATGTAATGTCCAAAAGCCATTTTTACATCCACGGAATGGGAACAATGACCAAGAAGCTTGACGACTGTTGAATAAAAACAGTGAAAGGGAACAGTGTAACATGTGTAAACCTCATCACCACCTGGAAATTTGCAGAAAGTTTCCAGAAGGACTAGAAACTTGTTTTTGTGTTTTCCCTTTTCTCTCAATAAGCTATAGTATATGTGCATGTCCATAAATCCCCACAGATCTTCCTCTCCTTGGCTTTAAAATAATGTATCTGTTTTCATTTTTAAAAATTCAGTGTGTGTGTGTGTGTGTGTGTTTGTGTGTGTAAATATAATGAATGACCTCTGAGAGAATGCAACAAAGGGTAATTTTCCTTTGTTGAAGCACAGCTTTGTTTGCAGTACAATGCAAGTTACAGGCGTGGGACCCGTGGCCCTGATCAGGACCCCAGCTAGGGGGGCGGGTGTGTGTGGGTGCACATGTGTGCGGGTGTGCAAGCTAAAGCCCTTCCTCCCAAACATGCACTTGGGTTGATCTTGACTGATCTCCTTGCATCAGCCTTTAGTGGAAATGGAAAGCATGACCCAACAACAGAACTATGCAGTTAGTCACAGCTTTGTCCCCAGCATGGCCACCTCTGGTTTTCAGGGAGTGCACTTGGTTCAGAAGACACATTAGCCCACGTATCAGTTAGGATACAATAAATGATGCATATGGGTGACCTTTTTTGGGAATGGATAGGTGGCTACCCTGGGGTGGGGGTGGGGGGGCGGGTCTTTGCTTTCTGTTATCTAGAGAAATGCTTTTTATAGACATGAGTGAATGGTAGGATCTGGCTATCCCTTCCTTCCTTTCTCTTTTTTTTCAGACAAGCCTTAAAATCTGGTGTTTACATTAGTGCTGAGTGCTTCTGCATGTGGGGGAGGATTCTTCGTTGACTTCTAGTCACTGTTTGGACTGAATTTATAGGTCTGTTGCATTTTGCAAGATGGTAGCCCTGTGCTCCACATTCTGTGTGCACACAGCCCTGGGAAAGCCAATTCCCCCAAGGAAAAAGAAGCCAAAGGAAATGGAGTGAGCTGGGGGAAGCCGCATGACCTGAGTTAAGATTTATTAATGAGAGCCAGCATTGTGCTTTTGGAACGAAGTGTTGCTTGTGACCAAGTTCTTGATGCTGATGTGGTCACGCGATACATCGAGCAGCTTCTGGAAAAATAAACAAGAGTCCTGTGCAGCTCTAGTGGCAGTCTGTGCAAGCCCATCGGGGTGGATCCAGTTACAGAATTATGCCAAGCACCACCGGACTGATGAAGAGATGCTGGGCGGCAAGAGAATGAATAGTCTGACCTCATCTCATTCTTCCCATGACAGCTAGAGCATTGACTTGAAACTGTGAAAGAGGCAGGCACTTCTGTTTTGCTGGGGGGCTGATTTCTAGCCGCTGAACATTTGTCCAGCAGCAGGACTGGTGTTCGGGCGTGTGTGCGCATGCGTGATTGTTTTGGTGGTCATATTAGCATCTTAGTCTTGTGTTGTTAGAAGTAGTCATATAGCGATATAATTGAGTGGCTGGAAGAATGATGGAAAATCAGACCGTGAATAATAAACAGAGCTTCCACCCTGCTGTACCATGCAGTGACCATAGTGTACAGAGTAGCTCTCACAACACGGCTTGTTTAGCAGACAGGGCTATAATTCAGGAATGAAGCACCTGCTTTAAAAATCTGCTTCGCCTCCATGTTCCTTCTGAGGAACACAGTTTTAAAACCTGAACTACTAGGAAAAGTGTTTTCTGTGTCTGGATTTTTGCTGCTGCTGCTGATATATAAGAATGCAAAACATCCAAAGATGCTTTATTTGAAAATGGATCCAAAGGTTTAAAAGTGTCTAATGCTTTTTTTAAGGGTGCAGGGGGAATGACCAATGTAATTCTAAGCATGTTTTATCATATGTAAGTAGGGTCGACTTTATTTATATCATTTCTATACCATCTCATAGCCAAAGCTGTCTGAACGGTTTACAACAACCCATAAAAATAAGAACATAAAATATGATAAAATGTCATAAAATATTATTTGAGAGGCTGCTAGAGGACAGTCTGTTTTGAAACTGGGCTTCCATTTAGTGGGCTATCCAGTGCATGCCCAGGTTAAAGATCAGAAAAAGTTGCTAGGTCTTCAAGTTGTCCATCACCACACCTGGAACATGGGCTGAGCAAGAGGGACAGTGCTGGGGGGGGGGGGTGCTTCGTGAGACTGTTTATCCAAGACTCACAGGTGCAATTTCACAAACAAAAGTTTAGTCAAATCACTGCTTCTCACCAGCCCTAGTGTGGAGCACTTGGTGCGTTGCTATGGCTGCTTCACAGGGGGAGGCTGCACACCAGCCCCAGGAGTTTCTGCTGCGGACTGGTGGTGGCATGGAAGCACTACCCCAGGGATGCACAACTGGTGCCGTGCAGGTGTTGTGGACCACAGCATCCAGCAGCCTTAGCCAGCATTTCTGATGGTCGAGGAATAGAAAAGGTGTAGTCCAAAATATCTGGAGGGCTCCAGAGTGCCTACGCATGCTCTGCTCGGTGGAGGAATCCATGGGGATGACTCAAACTCTACCCATGAGGGTTGCCAAAAGGAGGAGGAGGAGGAGGAACTGTTTCTGTGTGACGGCTGTAACATTTTGCATGGACTTCTGAAATCATCTTTTCATGATTGAATGTTTGCAGTCCATTCTGTCCCATAGGATTCACCATTCAGACCCTTTGTCATCTTTCTCACTCTCCCCTGCCCGCCTCATAATGAGCAATAATAGTTGTAATTTGAATTTTGGATTCTCCTCGCTTATTCCCTTAGTGTTAAGTCATTCTATATAGAATTTGAGGGCAATTTATCATTCTTCTGTTAATATTATTAGGCTTCTGAGTTTTTTGTATGACTCATTGGAAGGGTTTACTATAAAAGGTGGCTTGCAAATAATTTAAATCAATAATTAAAATAATAATACCAGAAAGATGGAATGGTGAGAGCAGTTTTTCCCAATTTGATGCTTTCAGAGAAGCTGGACTGCAGTTTAATTCATCCTCAACCAGCATGGCCACTAGGGATGACGGGAGTGATTGTCCAACAGCTCTAGAGGGTGTCAGGCTGAAGAGGGCTGGATTGCAGAGTCAGAATTGGGGAAAACCAGATTTCAGTCACTCAGCCAGGAAATTCCCTGGGCAATCTTAGGCTAGCCACTGTCTGTGAACCTCATTTATCTCACAAAGTGGGGAGTATAAAATGGAAGGGAGAGAGGAAGGGAGGGCTAAAAAGTAATAAATAAAATCAGTAAATCTGCTGCTTGGCCATGTAACTCCTGGCTTAATTAAATTCACACACACAGCACCAGCGTTTCCTTGGGTGGTGGGGCAGAGTTGAAATGGTACAATTGCAACATGCAAAACAGATTAGTCTGCTGATAAAATGGGGAATGTTTAAATGGTTATTTGTTCTGGGGGAAACCAGTGCTTCCCCAAATGTATTTAGCAGACAGCTTTCTCTTTACAGTAGAAGGATGGAAAATCTGGAGCGAGTGCAATTGAGGAATAAATCAAGGTTGGCTCCAGTCTTTGCACAATGCTCCCACCGGTTCCTTTTCAGTGACAACAGCATCCTATCATGCCCTCTGTGTTATCAGTGGGGAGAAGAGGTATTTTCTGTAGAGGGTCGCAGCCCTGCTACTACTTTCCCATCAAATACACCCACCTCTGTCTGCACCAGCCCAGGGGAGGTGGCCTGCACAGACTCTAAAGAGCTTAAACAGTCCTCACCTGTCAAGCTGTTAATAAAATAAGGATGCTGAAGGAGGGTTAATGTTGATGCTTGCTATTTAAATATGTTGCCTGGTGAATGAATGTTCATGCTCACTTGGGTGACGTATTGCAAGGGAGCACACAGTCTGCATTCAATGTTATTTTTAAAGCCCTTTTAAATGCTCTTGTGGGTCTAGGTGTGTTTCTCAAAACCACCATTACCCACATTTCCAGTAGGAACCTGTAATACTTCTGCAAACATGTCCCCCACACAAATCACCGTGACCGCAGACATGGCAACTGGGAGGTGTTTTTTCCAAAATACAACACTTTGGTTGGGAAATTCAACAACTTCAAGAACCAAGAAATGAAGACAATAAAATGATTATGGAGGGTATCAGTAGCTTGATTATGGAAAACAGTCTGGCATCCCCTGATGAAATAATCTCAGCCCTGCCTGAGACCCTGAAGACATCTGAAGAGACAGTTGAGCTGGATGGGCTGATGCTCTGCTTGGAATGATATTTTGACATGTTCAGGACTCCTGGTTCTAGATAAGCAAATGCTTTCTTTGCTTCCTACCTAATCTTTTAATACAGCTGTTTCTCCTTTAATTTCTAGATGTAACAGACCTGTCAACCAGGAATCATGTCGGTAAAACTGACGTTTGACTCCCCAGCTGGTGGGGGAAGAATCAGCCGGAGCTGCTCTTTTGCAGGGTTTAGCAGTGCACACAGCCGAAAGTTAGCGTAAGTTGCACAGTCACAAAAAACAAGTTCCTTTCCAGCGTCTGCTTCATCATGGTATACAGTTCGTGCTGTTCAGGCCAAGCTAAACAAGGCGTTACAAATCTGTGATTGTATCTCTCCTTTGTTTAATTGTGTAAACTAACAATACCCGCTGGTCATCTTCCTCCAGCTTGACTGGGATTGGGAGTCTTGCCACAGAGGGTGAAATGCTTCCCCTGTGCCATTTTCCTGATGTGAATTCTTCCTTCAAAAGCTGTTTTCCAGTTTAGGTTGGGCAAAGGATATACTAATTTAGGCTAGGGCAAGAACTGGGCAGGACATGAGACCAGCTCCTGTTGTCAGAAACCAGAGTCCTGAGTTTCTTGCTCTGAATGTGTACTTCAGAACATGAAATGCTCTGTTATTGCTCCTTCTTTCACTTTGTTTGCTGGTACTTGTACTGGCATGAAACTTGAAAAACGATGACATTCCTTCATGCCTTTTTTGTGTAGTACTGCATGCTATTAGTTGAAAAGAGGAGAAACAAGACTGATTTTTTTGGTGGCACTCGCTTGTCTTTTATCACATCTTGCTCTGATGGAAGCCATTGCAACATTGCAAGCTTCAAAATTGCTCTGGGAAAAATGTGCCTATGCTTTAGATCCCATCCTATGCGTGATTAGTCCAATGCTGGCCCAATGGGAAATCTACAGAAAAGTGTTTGTAGGGTTGTAGCCTAAGTCTGTTAAGCTCTTGGGATGTAGAACTAGATTTAGCACAGGGTGGGGAGTTGCTTTCAGTCCATGGGCAGAGTTCCATTTTGGAAAAGTTCTCAGGTAGGCGGGGCTAAGTAAGCAAATAATATCAGCATGGTATAGCAGAGAGCTCATATTGCCAGATGTTGTGCCTTAGGAGTTTCAACCTTTTCGCATGGGGTAGGGGGAAACTACATAGTAGAAAGGGGAAAGAGATGTACCCCCACAAAGAGCAGATTCTACAGTTACTGTCCTCTACATCCCATGTGAAAATCTCAACAGAGCTCCTTAGGGCAATGGTTTCCTGCCCAGCTTGCCAGTCCCCAGAATGGTTTTGTTTTCAGGCTGGTCTTCCTAAACTTGTTGGTTTTAGGGCAACAAGTTGGTTTTAGGGCAAAGTCATGGTACAGACTTTGCAACAGACTTTGCAACATGGTACAGACATTGCAACAAGCCTGGCTCCTTAACTGAACAACAAATCATGGCTTGTATTTGCCCTTTGTAGGTTGTTAAACCATGGTTTGTTTGTAGAAAGAGGCTCAAAGGACAAGCCAGATTTCAATAAAACAAACCTTAGTTTAGAGTTTTATGTGAACCAGGCCTACTATCTATTATTTCTGAAGGCAGTCATACAGCCCATAAGTTCTCTATGCAGACAGGATTGTTGTGCTATTGATGAGCTGTGATTTGAAAAGAAAACCAAGTAGCACGACTGCAGTGTTTGCCACTTTAGAATAGTGGGTTGAATTCAGATTTAGGGTAAAATCCTGAGGAAGTACTGCCTTGCAGATAGAAACTACTAGAGGTCATAGAGCGAGCTGTCTCATTGAAATCAATGGGACTTGAGTTAGACTCATTGATTTCAGTGGCTCTACTCTAAGTATTGACTAAGCTTTGTTTACATGACATGACAGCCCACTATGAGGCAGACCCCAGTTTGCTATGGCTTGTGTCATGCAAACCTGGGCAGAAGTATTTATTGGAAGTGGGAAGCAACCTTACAATGGCCATCAAGGGTAGTTAAGCAAATTCTGCTGGTATTAGGCTGGTGCATGGTAGGGAAGTAAGCTACTGTGACTTATTCCCCTTGCCAAGATTGTGGGAACCTGTATTGCTTGTGTAAGAGTGGTACATGAAAATAAACAGGAGTAGCATGCTCAAAGATTTGCTCAAAGAGCTTCCATAACTGGGGGCAGAGGATGGGGCTACAACCGGAAAGACCCTGTCTGTGGTCTCTACTTTCCTTACCTGCCATGGTGGAATAAGGCTGACCTTCTAAGAAGATCTCAGCCAATGGGCAGGTTAACATGACAGTAAGTAGTAACTTGGGTTTCACACATCCCAAGTAGCATATAAGAATGTAGGTGGATTTCCACATCCATTATCAGACCTGAAGAATTGTCAGCCAGCCAGAAAGCCATTTAAGTGATGCGCTGGTGGACTTGGCTCTGAAAGGGGGAAAAAAGAAATCAAGCAGTCAATTGAATAAACAGATAGGAGTCTTAAGTACATAGTGGGAGTTCTTACAAGGAAAGACAGGACCAGGGAAGAGAGTTAAACAGCTGTTTCTAGAACCAAAGCACCTCCAGCAGGGTAAGAATGCTCTAAAAGAAGTGAGTTTACATTCCCTGAAGGTTATTCAGTTTCTTTCAGCTGTAAAGCATTTAAAAAACAACAATCAGCTCTTTATTACTTCTAAGGGGGTGGAAAGATTGGAAAATTCAAGTACCATTTCACTAGGAAAGGAGCTTGGTTTGCACTCGGTTTAGGGGTTAAGTACTTCTAGAAAACAGAAGCAGTTGTGATTTATGTATTACTTTTTAGACAATATTTATTATAAGAATGTCAGATTGGTTTTAAACTTGAAATTCTTGCAAGAAATGCAGGCCACAGTTCAACACAGAATTAAGAGCGCACAAGCCAATTAAGCATGTGTAATGTTGCATTGGATTGTGGCCATAAGCATTTTATTTCTTGGATTAATTGCCTATATATGAAGAGCTCAAAATAAGTGGATTGTTATTCAAAAGGGTCATAAAGCTCTCCATCCATATAGTATAATGCCAGTGTTCATCCATGAGCAGGCTGGGAGCAGCCAGATACTTCCATGCATGGATCTGCTTGGCTGCTTCTAAAGTTAAAAATGCATTTAGAATTTAGTGGGTTGGCTCTAGACACAGCCATGAACATAATGGGGCTTCAGTTAGTTGTCCTCCCCATGCAGCTACAAGGCTTAGTAGAAAGGTTCCCATTGGCAAATATTTAAATAAGTGCCCAAGGCACATGGGTAAGAAGATCAACATGTGGACTGTGGTTAGGGAGGGAAGGAAGGATAAACCCCGTCAGCACTCGCTCTGGTCCAGAGAACAATTGCCTCTGTACAGCTGTCGTTAATGTAGGTAAAACAGAAATGACCACCTGCTACTAATATGTGGCTTGGCCCTTGGGCAACATTATTGCGGGTCCCAGTAATGGCTACAACATCAAGGGGTTATTGTCCTGGTCATCTTTTAATGTTGATGTATGCTGGAATTTCCCAGCAGTGCCCTTCTGCATTCTGCTCACAACAAACAAGTTAATCCCTATGGAAAAAACAAATGCAAATAAAACCAACATCAGAAATGGCAATATTCAGAATCCTACCTGAATGTTTTACTACTGGCCATCCTTCAGTAAAGGAATTTGTCAAACTACTGGATCGTGGTCTGTTCCTTGAGACCTGAATAGAGACCATGGTTCCTTGCTCTTCTACAGTTAACTCAGCAGGGCTGAGTTGACTGTGCTATTACCTGCCACTGCTGTTAAGAAGGGTCATTCTAGTTAAGCGTGAATTTTCACTGTCCTTACTGTGTGCATGCACTGTGATCTCAGTATGTTTCACTGAGTTCAGTGGGACTCAAGTATCCATGCATATGTGCTCTCTGGGGAGCGCATTCCCAACTGTGGGAATGTGAGGTTCGCCTGGCGCCGACTTTATATGCTTTTTGGCACCAGGTAAAAACCTTTTTATTTGCCCAACATTTTAAAGCTTAAATAATTTTTAACTGGTTTTATTAATATCCTCAGTCACATTTTATCTTGTTATTGTATTCTTTCCTTATTTGTATTTATTGTTTATATTGTAAGCTATCCTGAGACAATTGGATTGTATAGGATGGGACAAAATATTCTAAATAAATTCATAAATAAATATAATGTAAATCCCGCCTTAATGTTTAGCACCACTAATCCTTTCATCTAATAACCTTTTCTGAGGAGGGACAATTTTAGGTGTGCTTCAGTTGCCCCGTGCAGCTAAGGCTGCAGTTGTAAACCTTTGGTAGTGGGACTTACTTCTGAGTAAGCGTGGCTAGAACTGGGCTAGGAGGCCTTACTCTCAGCACAGTTGGTGTCTTCCAGCTCTGTCTATTGCAGGAGTTCTTTATATGATCCGGTGGGAAATCGAGTTGATTACGAGGGAAGAATTTACCTAGATACACCTTCTGCAAAGTAAATACATGGTTAAAAACTGAGATAGCAAAAGTCAAGTACAAATAATCAGGGAAGAGGAATGTAGCGTAGCCTAGCCAAAAATCTGTCGAAAAGACAACTTTTGACAGGCAGTGTAAAGGCCTCCCTGAGTTGTCTTTATCCATCTTAAGTAGGTGAGCAATACTCAGTGTTGCATCTGTTCTTTATATTTACACAGTGAGTATTGTCTTGTGAAGGATACATAGTAGATTTTTTTCTCTCTAAGTGGGACTTCAAAATACTTTTTAAATCAATCCAGCTGGTTCTGTTCTGTGTTTCAAACAGGAATAAATAAACATATTAGTTTAGCAGGGAAAGCGAAATTTTAAAAAGCTGCTCTATAAAAAATCATAAAGAAGTACAACGATTCAATGAGAGGAGAATAGCAATTTGTCTGCTGCTACATGTTTCAAACGGAAAGAAATATATAGGCCATTAAGCAAGATTTATATCTCAAAGAAGTGAGCTTTTAAAACATAATGCACAGCCCAACAATGTTATTTTGAACTGGCAATAGGTCCTCCTTTCTTCACTGGAGCTGGTTCTGTAGGAAGTATGTATTAATAACATGCGTCTCATGCATTATCCCCATAATCTTTGTGGCAACATTGCAAGGTAAGTTAATATAATTAGAAACACTTTAGATGGGCCAGTGACCAGCAGTGGCTTTAGATGCAAGCCAGCCAGTGAGCTCAACCCAGATACGGTTTTCCACCAGGGATGCTTTGCTTGCATCTCAGTCTCTGAGCCGCTGCAGTCAGTTGCGTACTCTTAGTCTTGGGTCAGGAATCTATTTATTCAAAAGTAAATGTCAACATAAACAAATAGCTGTGCTCATAAATATGCTAGGGGCTAATCCTTTAATGTTGTGATCTTATCTTTTCAGGATGAGTGCACTAGCACAGTTTATAACCTAATTTTCCATAGATCAGCTGCTAGCTTCTCTGTTAAGCTATGAACTTAGTCCTTTCTTTTTCAGACCTTTTCCAAATTTGAAAGATTATGTCTTGTCTCACAGGTTTACTTAAGAAAGCAGAGAATCTACCTTAGTGGTAGAGCACCTGATCTGTGGCTCCAGTTCTTCCCATTTCCAGTTTAGAGGGATGATTAATAAGAGGGCCTCTTTCTTTTCCTGAGACCCAGAGGAGCTGCTGCCAGTCAGAGCAGATAATATTGGGGTGGGCCAATGGTTTGATTCAGTGACTGGGTTTGGACAACACAAAAACCTATATCCAAGGGTTCAACATAGATTGAATGTGGGTTGTTTTAGAAACATAGGTTTTGTTGTCTGAACCCAGCTTCTTTAGCAAGCCATGGCTTGCTGCTCATGGCCAACTAGAGAAGACGGAATTTGTTCTTGGGTTGCGAAATTTTGGTTCACCATGGTTTGCTATCGCAGCTGGGTTCAGACAACATGATAACCATGGTTAAAAAAACCTCTACAGTTCATAGAATCGTAGAATAGTAGAGTTGGAAGGGCTTAGAAGGCCATCAGGTCCATTCCCCTGCTGTTGCGGGATACTAAGTTGGACCATTCCATTTAGATGAATGTCCAAATGCTTTCTGAATGTCTCCAGCAAGGGAGAGCCCACAAATTCCCCAGTCCTTCAGCAACTCTAGCTCAGCCCTTGAGAATGCATTATTGTGTTGTTCAAATTTAGTAGATATGAGGCAGCTTCATGAGTTGTTATAAACAACAAAAACCATTGCTTCTTGAATGTGCTTAACAGGAAATAAGGAACAATAAACTTGATGGGACTGGCATCCAAGTAAACATAATTAGCGTTATTCTCCATAAATGGTGTGGAATTGATTTAATTATAATGTTTCTGAAAGCAGTGAATGTGCTGTTTAAAAGCAGTCTGCAGTGGCGTATGTAGGACTGCTTGGGTAATACCACTAAATTTCATGGCCACTGTGATGTAAGTGACTTGACAATTACTGCTATATGCCCTGAGTACTGTCAATATATGCTAATCTAATGCTGCCATTTTTAGCAACTTGTTTTTAACTGTTTCATGGTGCATAGGGCCACGGATAGATCATGCAAATATAAGGAAAACAAAGCTGTTCTGGAGGAACATAACATTTTAGGGATATTTTAACCATGTTTCTGAGTATATTTACCAAGTAAATACTGTAACTCACCCAGAGAGCCCTTTTTGGCTAAGGGATGGGATATAACTCAATAATGATGATAATGTTAATATGCTTAGGATTGTGCATGTCTGAATTCAGAAGCTTTTGTTCCTCCTTACTCCCTACTAAATAATGCATAGATGGTAAACGTCCTTAAAATACCGGGAAAAACCCAGTAACATTAGCAAACCTTTTTTCAAAGTAAGAAAGCATCACTTGGTTCTTATCTACCTTTGAAACAAATGAATTCAACATTAAAGCCAATACTCTGCTTATACCTGTTGTCTTTCTCTTGTGCTCTGCTGATAATAGAAAGCTAAAGGCCTGTCTTTAGCTTTTCTGGATTTTGCACTGGTGGTCTGCTCTGAGGGCTGAAAAGGAGAGGAAAGATTATGTATGAATTGTTTAAAAATGTAGAAAGGAGCTTCTGGTCCCAAAGACTTCTGAGCCTGCAGTGTGCTACCAAACTATTGCTGGCAAGGTGAGCGGAGGGTGGAGGTGCCTTTTCTCCTCCCTGTCCTCCTTTTTATATTGTTTATATAGACGGCCTTTGAGCCTGTCTGGAGGAGTTCTGCTAGCAGGGGCTGAGCTAGGACTGAAATGGTTATAGGATTTTTCATATCCAGGCTTCCCCTCCCCCCCAAGCCTGCATATGCAACCAGCCCATGGGGTTCTTTCCACAACAGCTGCAAGGAGATGTGAAAGGGGGATAGGATCTCAGCATCCCACTCAAAAGATCATAGCAGCATCTGTGGCCTTGACAGGGTCTTTCCAAACAATCCTATGATCCCTGCACCCTCTTCCAGGGACTTGGCTTGCTGTCTCCCTGCTTTATGTTACATATCATACCTAGTATTGCCTGGAGACCAATTTGCCTTGCTTTATTAGGGCTATGGCTATGGCTCAGAAAAGAGCCCAGCCCAGGTTCAGTCCTTGGCATCTCCAGGTGGGGTCTGGAAAAGATGCCTTCTCTTAAACCTTAAAGAGTGACTGTCAGTCTGTGCTGACGGTACTGAGTCAAAAGGACAAATGGTTTGATTTGGTATAAGGTAGCTGTCTTTCTCTCTTTTACAGAAAGTCCCTCGGCAAAGGTTCCACAAGATCCAAAATGTCAGTGAAATCTGCCAAGATGTATTCCACTCTCCAGAAAGGGGCTGTCATCTGGGATCCCAAGCCGCAACAAGTGACAAAAGTTTTTGAAGCTTTGAAGAAGGGACTTAAGTAAGAATCCCACCTCCCCTGGCACACAACAGATTAATAAGCTGGACATCATACTGTATCTTATGGCTTACTATTTATTTAGCTCCATCAGCATGTTAAGTATTGTTGAGAAGAAGCGCAGATCCTTTCAGCCTGAAGGCCAAATTCCATTTTCGAGCTGCTTTTGAGTGCTGCATTTCAGGGGTGGGAAAGCCAAAGGGGTGGGGGCCAAACTTGTCCCTAATACCAACATGTTTCAGTTTAAAGACTGTAGTAAGTGAAATTTAGGGGAGGCATTTCAACATTTTAGAATGGGGGGAAACTCCACAAAAGCTCGGAAACCACCGAAGAAGATCGTCTCCAGAGTGGTCCCAGGTATGGAAGGAGAGATCTGATGTGACCCACCTGGCACCAACATTATTATATTTTAATAAGCTCCAGGTTTAGACCTTCTTCTTCCTCATCTCTGAGTCATTTGGCAGTGTTATGATGAGGTTCATTGGCATCCTGATTCTTCCTGTTGTTTGTTGAACATTGATTTAACTATCTCTCTGTGTGTTTTCCATTTGTACATATGTATTTATGAGATTTTTATAGAGCTTCAAATCTTGGGTGGTATCAGTGGTGGGCACAGGGAAAGGAGCATGACCAACTTCAGACCTCCAAAGGGCCAGTTTGGTCTCTAGGCCTGTGTTTCTGCATCCCAAGTTATGGAGGAGGAAGAAACTATTCCCCCCATGTTCAAAAGATCTCTGTGGATTGTTATGATTAGGTTATGATCAGATATGTCCTTAGGATAGGGATCTTGGGGTTAAGGTGGACAGCAGCACAGCTTCTGTGAAAAAGGCAAGTTGGGGATCATTGGGAAAGAAATCAAAAATAGAACTGCCAGTATCAGAAGGCTTTTATACAAACCTTGTTTGTGACTATGCTTGGAATGCCTTGTACAGTTCCAGGCACTGCACCTGAAAAGGGATATTGTAGAGCTGGAGAAAGACTAGAACTGGGCAGCCAAAATTATGCAAGGCTTGGAACAATTCTCCTTTGGGGAAGAGGCAAGACAGGAGGAGGAGGAAGATGGCAGTGGTGCCTAAGATTGTGCATGGTATACGAGAGAAGGCTAGGGAGAAGGTTCTGCAGTCGTCCCTCTAGTCTCAGTGGAGAAGAGGAAGCGATTCTTTACGCAGCACATTTGCAGTTTGCTGCCACAATGTGTAGTGATGCCTGGCAGCTTGCTTTAAAAGCACGGATGAAACAAATCCATGGAGCGTGCAGCTTTCAATGGGTGCTAGTCACAAAGCCCATATACTTTCTCCAGCATTGGAGGGTTTCTCTATGTCACCAGTTGCCACAGAAATGGTGACATCATGCCCTGCTTGTGGCTTCCTAAAGACATGCTGGGAACAGTATGCTGGTCCAGAAGGGCTTTAGTGGTTGCCTGTTCTTATGAACATCCAGTAAGGGAGGTGAGCTTTTCTCCACATCCTTTTTTAGGTAGTTGTTCAAGATATTTTCTTCAACTGCCTTGGTGGCTGATAGGTGCTTGCTTAAAGAGGCATTGATGACTGGTGTGTACAAGCTGTTGATTGCATTTTACACAGGGCCTGGGGAGGAACCCTTTGTGATTAAGATCTTCAGTGGAGACAAAGGGTAGAGTTTTGGTATTGGCTGAAAATCAAGTGCCTTGAGAAGTTTTGTGCACCTGAAAAACTTGCTTATTCAGCCATATAAAATTAATCCAGCAGCTAGTACCCTTGTCCACTAATGCCTGCTTAAACAAGAAACTCCCAAAGAAGTGTTGAAATAACAGTTGAAGAAGCTCCTTCAGTTTTAATCAAGTTAATGGCCCTGATCCAGAGGTCCCCATGTCATCTTCCCTTGAAAAATCCCCTCAAATATATGCCAAGTTCTCTTGCAATTGGTTGAATCATGTGTAGTTTTTGTTTTTTCAAAAAATCTCTTGACCTAATACATTATCTTGACGAAGGTAGCTACTTGTTCTGAGTTATATTTATTTGTGAATTTATAGCAATAAGACCATGCAATACTTTTAGTTCAGTAAGTTTTCAGGCAGCTGCATTTTAAAGGTTTGGGTGCAGAAGTATTTAAACTAACCTCAGAGGCTCTTGCCTGCCTTGCTGGCAAGTAATCAAATAGTTGAATTTTGGAGGAACAGTATGTCTCAGAAGGCTGGGTGGGACAATAGTTAGGGAAACCCCCACCCCCCAAGTAAGTTGGGAAAGGCTGCTTAAAATAAACACATTGACCTGTTTAGGTTCTGCATCTTGTAAAGCAGCACTAGCTGTACCCTTTTTAAATATAAGAGGAGAAAACTGAGTTATTCATGATGTCTGGTCTGAATTAACTCACAAACTTAGAGGAATGTGAGCTGAAGAGGTTTGCCCTCTGGGAACTAACATGAAGTTTCAATCTGCAGCTGCTATTCTCTCTTTTTGGGGCTCCCACTGGACCCAGTAGGTGCAAAGGGGCAGAACCTTAGGGCTCCATTGCAAAGTTTGGAGGAAGAATAGTTCTCTTTGCTTCCCCCCTCCCCCACTCCAAGTCTTCCTTGTCAGAATTCAACTTTCTTCTCTTCTCCATTTTGCTTAGTGGAAACTTTGCTAGGGTGATTATTGTCTCTCTGCCCTCCAAAAATGCAAAGGAAAATGTGAAAAAGGAATTTGCATGTTATTCATCTTAGCTGCCCCACTGGAGTGGTGTGGGAAAAGTTGGGAGTAGGAAAAGCTGGATGTAGGATGGGTGTAGGAAAAGTTCCACTTGCAGGCCCATGCCTCTTGTTAGATGCAAGTATCACCAGTCAATCTCTCTTTCCTTCTTGCTCGTTGTTCTGCAGTGCTGATTCCCCACAACCCACCGTTGGCAGTACGGCCAAGAACAGCAGTGTGCATGGCAACATGATTGTCTGGCTTTAGGTTCTGTTAAGCCAACAGGACATGCATGTGAGGACGGAGGTAGCCAGCTGGGACTGATTCCCAAAACTGAATTAATACCAACGCTTCCGTAGGGCTGAGAGAATAAGAAGGCCTAGGGGTCTAAATGAAGTTTCCATTGGCTGGAGCTTAACAAAGCCTGGATCAAGTTTCCCAAGATTTTTGAAGACACTGTGTGTAAACGCCCCCTCCCCAAAAAAAGAACAACATGACATAGTAATAACCAGATGTGACTTGTGTGGTGGTGGGTGTTAGAACATTAGAACAGCACATGTTAAAGCATTATTCTTTGAGTGTTTGGATTATTTTTCAAGCATGGATCTGAGAGCAGCTGCTCCAGTTCAGGAGTGTTTCAGTTCAGAGCCCTCCAGACTTCACAGACTTAGAACCAGCCTATGCAATTTGCAGGATGAGATATGAGTTATTTTTGCAGTTGGACCACCAAAGGTTTTCCACTCGGTTCTGTGGATGAACTGCAGTGGCCCTTAATGTCAGGATGGGTATTTCCAGCCCCATCATTGACACTGGAGTCAATCCCATGAAAGTGTGAGAATGGGTGGGGCGGGGTCTGTCCCGGGGTGATTTGCAGAGGAAATCCACATTGGGGGCTGTGTGTGGGGCAGGGCCAACCTGGGATGCATAATACTGTGATTGTCAAATCCCAAGTGAGAGAGCAGAAGGTTGCAGAGAGTACCTTGACTGCTGTTGTTCTAACAAGGAATCGCTTGCTGTGTGTAAGCAAAAGTGCAGTTTGTGTATGCCTTCCTTGCCTCGGCACACCTAGAGCAGCTCTCTGCCTTCACCTTGGTTTCCTTTGCTGAATCAGAAGTTGCTGCTTTCTTCAAGGAAACTACTGGAGACTGAAAGGGGGAAATGCATTTGGGGTTTTGCATGAGAAAGAGCACATATGTATATGTGTGGGAGGGAAACCGTACACGCGGGTAGTGAGCAGGGCAGCTGATCTGTTAGGGCTTGCTGCTGTCCAAAGGATGGCCTGGGGAAAATGTCTGTGGTGCATGGAAGCTCAGCTTTGCCAAGCACTATTCTGACCTGAGGTGGAATTGGCTTATGATATTGATGATGCTGGTGAGAAAAAGAGGAGGAGTATGAAAGAAGAGGCTTCAGTGACCTCTGCCCACCTGCTGCCAGTTCTGGTATGAGAATGTCAAATGTAATGTGAGGACTTTGTGACTTTGCAATAAGGAGTCCAAACAGAAGATCTGGCAACCCCGCGCTCTGCAAAGTACAACTTTTCCATCTCCAAGGATAGAGAGCAATAAATGGAAACATTGCAATCTTGCCTCACCTAGCCACTCGTCAGGCCTTGCTTTTATATAGTGTTCAAAAAGCTTATTCTCTAAGGCCGTGTTACAAGGCAAGTGATCTTTGTCTTGAAATATGACTGTGGGACACCTTGCAGACAGAAGGGCACCAACCCTTTCCCCACCCACTGAATTTTCCTGCAACTGCCTGCTCCAAGGCAGTTTGTAGCTCTCTCCACCCTGCTCCCCAGCAAGGTGAAAGTAGTCTGGTAGTTACCCTAAGCTGAGGCTGGATCTCACCATATATATTAGCACCAGACTGAACAGATGGAATGAACTGGAGCAACTGGGAAGATACCATTTCTGAAAAATGAAAATAGAAAATAAGCCTAAGGAGAAAGATTCTAAACCAGCAGCTGGTTTGTAGTGCTAGTTTTGCAGGGAGGTTTTAATGGATGAAACAGCCCGCTACCTGCACCCCATTCTGCTGTATAGCCCTCTGGGAAGGAGAGAATTGAAGATGGGAAGGGTTAAGACTGCCCACATTAGCATTATCTTTACCCTCATGGGTTTAAAAACATGTATTTTCATTAAATCAAAGGAATGTCATGTGTACCTCCACAACCTTCCAACCTTACTTATGCCAAAATTGCTCACTCTTTCATCACAAATAGACATACCTGGAAAGTAAGTTTCATGTCAATGTGGTTGGTGCTATTATCTAATTTCCTTGCCTTCTGTAATTCATAAACTGTTAGGTTTGTCTTGTTTAACCGAAGTGCACTTCCTTGTGCAAGTCCTATTTAAAGTTACTGAGCTCTTGTTCTGTGTAAACATACGAGCTAGAAATTTGTTCTGTGATACTGCCTAATCCTTCTGTCAAATTCATTTCTTCCCTTTAGTGAATATCTAGAAATGCATCAGGCAGAGCTGGTTTATCTGTCCGAGTGCCACAAAGATACAAGAAGGATTTCCCGGCTGGTAAGAAGGTTTTAGTTTCTCTAAGCAGTGCTAATGGATAGCTGGAAATTGCCAAGGACCAAGGGCATAATGCAAAGTTAAGCCTATTTAAAATTCCACTGACTTCACTGCAGACTCTTCATGTGAGGAAATTAATTCAATGTTGTATTTCGACTAAAGCCACTTGATTCTGGATTGGCTCCTAACATCTCAAAATTCTGCTGTTACTCATGTATAGGAAGACTTCAGGCTTGCTGGATCTATTTTGGCTTTTGCTATAATCTCCAAGCCTAGCATGGAGTCTGACACAAAAGACATGTATTATACATAAAGAATTCGGAGCCCAGAAATATTTTATGAGTGTTAGAATTGAATGAAGCTTTCAGTCCTTCCACACTAAAATCCATTCCTTCTTACCTCTTTGTTGTAGACAATATAAGCCAACAATGTGATGCAGCTGCAAAAAGGGCAAATACTATTTTGGGCTGCATTAACAAAAGCATCACTTTCAAAACACATGAAGTACTAGTTCCACTATACTCAGCACTAGTCAGACCTCATCGGGAGTACTGTGTCTAGTTCTGGGCACCCGAGTTTTAAAATGATGCAGAAAAATCTAGAAAGCATATGGGACTGGAGGCAAAGCCCTTTGAGGAAAGATTGAACAAACTCGCCATGTTCAAGCTCAAGAAGAGAAGACTGGGGTGGTGGTGGGTGATATGATAGCACTCTACAAGTCCCTGAAAGGCTGTCACAAAGAGGAAGGACAGGATCTCTTCTCCTTCATTCCAGAGTGCAGGACATGGAATGATGGACTTGGTTAAAAGAAACCAGATTTAGACTAGACACCACTGTCCAAGCAATACAACAATGGAATCTATTACCTGGGGAGGTTGTGGGCCCTCCCTTGCTGGAGACATTCAAAAGGAGTTTGGACAGTCATCTAAATGGGATTGTGTAACTTGGTATCCTGCAACAGCAGGGGGTTGGGCCCAATGGCCTTCTGGCCCTTACAACTCTACTTTTCTATGATTGTACCCCCAAACTTCCCTCATTCCAACAGGAGTCATAGAGTTGGAAGGGCTCAGTAAGGCCACTGGGCCCAACCCCCTGCAGGAGTAATTCTCCTCCCCCCTGTCATTGCGCAATTAGGAGTCAGCGTTCTTGTCTAGTCCAACTCATCCAGAGATCGCCCAATGTATCCAGCTCTAACTTTTGTCTATCCCTACCGCACTTACCACTTCCATAGTAAATTGAGGTCGTGCTTAACTGAGTACCTTTTTAGCAGGTTTGACAAACCAGTTTCAGAAGAGCCACCGTTAGCTTCAGCACAGCCTCAGAGACTCCGTGGGTGCTAGTGATGCACAATCTGATCCTTTGGGTCGAACAAGATGCGACAGTGCCAGACCTGTTTTGCTTGTGGCAGTGGGAGCGCCAGGCTTCCCAGGCTTCCATGCACCATGTGCTCCAGAACAGAACCCCCACATGCCGCTCTATGGGGCATTTTCTGTACTCTTGGGGTAGGCAGACCTAGATTAAACAAAACGAGACTGTTGTTGTCCTGTCTAGGTTAGCCCTTAATCATAGGGCAAAATGTATTTCTGCAGAGCCCAGGCACTGTTCTTCAATGGTTAGCAAAATCAGCCTCTTGTGTTAAAGTTAAGGTTTAAATTCTATTTTTTACTTCTTGCTGTATTTAACCCCAGTTCATGTATAATCATGCATTCTAAAAACTGAACAGCTCCATGGACATTTTGATACACAACTGCTTTCCTGTGTTCCCTAAAAAGGAATCTGTGAGTCCAAGCAAGCTGCAAAGGCACACAGAACATCTGAGAACATCCTTCAGGCTTCAGGGGCGAGCCCAGTGGGTTGGGTGTTGTGTAGATCCAGAGTTTTCCATAGGTGTGGTGACAAAGTTGTCATTCAGACCAACCGTATAATTGCCTATAAAAGCGCAGGTGCTGAGAACTTGAATACAAAGATCCATGAGACACACATACCTGGATTTTCTGCATCCTTTATATTTTATTATATTTATATGTATTCTTTTTCCTTGCAAGGAACCCAAGGCAGCTTACACGTTCCTCTTCCCTTCAGTGTTATGCTAACAACCACCCTGTGAGTAGGTTAGGTGGAGAGGCAGTGACTGGCCCAAAGTCACCCAATGAGCTCCTTGGCATTGAAGTGGGATTGAATCTGGATCATCTGTGCTCTATTCCCATGCTGGCTGTAGTGCATAAGAGCGTCCCCTGGAAAACCCCCTCTCTTCCCCATCTCTGCCTGTTGGAAATGGGAAGGGTGGTTGTTCTTGGTGCTCCTTCCAAGGTCAGGCAGATTTGGACTTGTCAGATGAGGAGCAGGAGAGGCCCTGGGAGCAGGTGGCCCCAGACCTTGAAATGGTGAGAACAGAAGTGCTGCCCAAGGCTGCCCGTCTCCAGGTGTTCAGATGGACTCTGAGAATAGCCAGGATGCACAACTGATGGGATAGGATGTGGGACAGGTGGGGCAGGAGCCAGCTGAGCTTGATGCAAGTCCTGATTCCATGATGTGGAGCAAGGAGAGGAGGAGCAGCAAACTAGAGGGGAGATGTACAGAAAAGAGGGTTGCCCATCTCCAAAAGGGCCCTCCCAGAGGTAAGGGACCCCAGGAGGACTCAGAAGGAGGATTTTTGGAAGTAGCTGCTAGATTGGGTTCAATAAATTGTTCTGTGCATGCCTAGAGACTCATTCTGGGGTGATGGTGCTTACTGGATATACTTTGAAGAATAAAAAGTGCTCTCTCTCTCACACACGGGGAGTTAGCACTTCATAAAGGAAAACTGGAAATGCTAGTTTCCAAGTCAGGGGAGCTTCCGTCTGCAGGCTCTACTAACCTGCCTTGTTCTGGAAACAAGCATTTCCACCAGTGTCCAGGGTTCCTTTGTGAAGCAAAGTGTAATAACTGTTGCTGTGAACTGCCCAGAGAGCTCCAGCTATTGGGAAGTATAGAAATTAATCAATCAAGTGCTAACTTGCCATTGCAGTGTTTGATATGTCCCCATACATTGAAAGAATATAGTTCTCTTTCATAATACTGTCCTTGAACTGTTGGTAATAATAGATCATATGCATTTGATGGGTGAACTAATTTAGCACACTTCTATTTCAGGCCTTCTACTANCCCCCCCCCCCCCACTTTTAGGGGGAAAAGCACTTTGAATTTCCTTTCCCAGAATTCAGAAACATAAAATTCATTAAAACTCACTTAAAATCCAGAAAACACAAGCAGTACTTTTGTAACTGGGCAGTCCATCATGTGAGGAAACATTATTTAAAATTAGAATTCCCTTTTCAAAACAATGCAGTCAGAAGTACAAATATTAAAAGAGAGTTTAGTGGGGAAGTGGAGGAACCAAGGAAGGAAACAATCACACATGCACAATTCTACATAAAACCAAAGAGTGCATCCAATTTAGCTAGTTACAGCTCACCTAAATGAGCTGAGTCTTGGATTCCCGAGCTTATGCAGAGTTCATTGCTGAGCGGATGCTCGGAATAAGAGCACCTCTAGTTAGATAGTGCACTGAAAGCTTTCAAGATCTTACTTTTATTATCTGAGCCCAGTAAAGGCCAGTCCCTTAACAGAGACAGATTTTTGTTTTGTCCAATAACGTGGCAGCAAGTGGTTCAGCCAGCAAATCAGAACATTTGTTAGTGGTTAGACCCAGCCAAATAATGGCCAGAAACTTCGAAACTCTCAAAGGGATCAGCCATTTTGTCCCAGCTGAAGTGCTATTTTACATATATTTGCTAGCAAGAATGTGAGGTGAGCCTATTCAGGCTTCACCAGGCACTCCAGAGGACGCTGTTGAAGAATATCCAAATAAAGTGGTTTGTGGCCCTCTCTCCCTGCAGCAACGGAGACATTAAGACATTAGTGGGCAACCTGCGCTCAGCAGGTTCAGGCCACTTGGTGAGCTGATCTGCCCTTTCAGAGGAATCCATTGCCTGGAGAAGGAAATAGAGAAAGGATTGTCAAGAAGAAAGAAAGACCATGAGAGACAGAGAGAAAAGGCGGGTAGCAGAAAGAAAGAGAAAAGGGGAAGCCACACCCATGTTTGGCTTTGATCCTGTCCAGCATTATCTTTGGCCCACTCACCATCATTATGTGGTTCCTGACAGATTATTCTCAAGGGAATGTAGCCTTCAACACTGTGTGCCAAGTTGCCCTCCTCTGATATGAAGTGTTACTGTTCTGGGCAAGATTTAGCCTGAGCAAACATTCTGGGCAAACTTTCCAGGCTCTTGGTTTGTTCTTACTCCTGGCTCTAGATCCTGACTCTGTATGGCTAATGGATCTAAGCAGTGAATGCTGAATTTTAGTTCCCCAAAATGTTTCAGAAGGGATTTCTGGCCCCTGCAACCTCTGATACCAAATATCAGTCTGGACCAGCAATATTCTTTGCTCCTGTGAACTCCTTGGGGAATGGTAGTTCCTGAGTAATATCTACTCATCTACTCGATTTCAAAGCAGGAGGCCAAGCCGGATGCAGGAGTAGGCAATCCAGTTGCCTCTGGATGTTTTGTATTACAACACCTACAACTCTTAGACATGGATCATATTGGTTCAGGGTACCAGCCAGTATGGCCCATGTTCACAGATTTTGGGAGATCAAATGTTAGGACTAATGACAACTGTTGTCCAAATCATAGCAGGCCATGCAAAAGCCAGTCAGGTGGGCTTGGAACCTGACAAAGTATGGTAGAAAGCTGAAAGTTCATTTTTAATATGATATTTAGATTTGGAAATGTGTGCATACTTTGGGCTTTTGGAATATGTGTTTGTCTGCATGCATCTACAACACACTTTTTGCATTAGCCAAAGGACTTAAGACTTTACAAGCAGGAATAACACAAAATTCAGCTCCAGTTCTTTCAGCTCCAAGTGTGAAGGTAGCAACCTTTAATGGAATTTTTACACCCTTCTCTTCAAGCATAAAACATTTCTATAAAAGAGTTAAACCCCAAATGCTATCTTATCATTCTTCTAGAAGGCAATGAAGCAGCTTGGGCAATAAATCTTTTACTACATCAGAACACCATACCTAGTTCCATAATTCATAACTGCTTTTTGCAAAACTCTCACATAGCCCATTACCTGACATTAACCAAGTTCTCAGTAACAAACATTTTCCTCAGCTGGAAATATTCAGGATAGTTTTATAGGACTGAGTAATTGCTGTTTCCTTTGTTTTTGTTTTTAAAGTTAATCATGAAAGAATCTAATGGTGTCAATCTTGCTAGATTGTTGTATTTTGATTTGTTTTCCCCTTGTAATTATTGACTTGGCTCTGTTTGAAGCCGCCAGTGCCAAGTCTCTGCAGGCCCCACTGCAAGTTGCAAGAAACCTGAAGTTAAAAGATCCCTTTATATCTGACCCAGCTCCTGTCGAGGTTGGCAGAGGCAGCAACAGGCCAGTGCTGCCTCTCATAGAAAGCGGCTGAGTCTCTTTGATGCTCTAGGCTCATGACTACACCGGGATCAAGAAGCTTGTATGGAAAGCAAGCCGTGCCATGTGTGCATGCAAGTTGTTTCCGGGGCAGTCTTCGACCTTTGAAGTAGCATTGAGGAACGCCTGGCTGTATGTCACATTTGGCTTCCCTGGCTGGTCCACCCAACCTGTGGGGTGTAAAGCACGCCCTGCCTCTTCCCTGAAGCCCTGAACCTTGTTGGCTTTCCTATATACAGAACGTGAAGTAGGAACAAAGTCCCTTGATGGGCTTCACTTCATGCAAGCTTTCTCTGGCTGGGAAAAACCCACTTAGAGGGAAGCAGACCCCCAGATCAAGGCAGCAGCTGGATTTGTGCCTTCCCCTCACACCAACCAAGCTGCAGGTGGTGCTGAGGGAGTATTTCATGCCCCAAAAGTATATGCAAACCTGCCTTAAATCCCTACACAGTTTATGGCCTGCCTAACTAATGGAATGCCTGTCGCAATCTGTTCAAGAGCTACTGAAGGGTCCCTTCTGAGGATGCCACCATTGCAGAGATCGAGTTTTAGAAAAGCTCATCTGTCAGACACTTTTTAAAAAGTTGGCCTTTTATTTTTAGTAGCATTATGAGTTTTTTTATGATGGTTGTAATGTTTTTACGGTGTTTTGCTTTTATTGGTTTTGAACTGTTGGTTACTGCCTAGGTGTTTTGCTTTGTCTTTTTTTAACAGAAAGATGGCATGGAAATACTCAAAAGAAATTAAACATGAAATGCTTTGGTTTGTTGCTGTTAAGAGACTTCCTTGCTGGCCTTTGCTTCCTCCCTCAGCTACAGCCTGGTGGTGGCAGACATTGCCAGGCTCAAATCCATCAGCTTCCTGCTGCAGGCTTCTGCCCAAGTATGTGTCCTTCAGTTTTTCTGCTCTTGTTTGGGCAAGCCTATGGTAACCTCCCCAGTTGTATTTCCAGGATTTTAAGCCAATGATTAACAACACTCACCTGGGATGTATTCTGGGTCGCACAGTTCAGATTCTGTTTTCAGGAATGCATCCCTTTTGTGTATAACAGAGGCAGGGTCAGGGAAATGAGAAACTGTGCAACTGTAGCTATTCAAATGTTGGATGACATTGATCTAAGCTACAAAATGTTTTAATATATAAGATTTTCATGGCCAAGTAATATAGGACCTTCTCCTTAGCTCATGTTCTATTTGTCAGTTCGTAATGTAATAACTCCACTGCATATTTAGATATCAGAATGAAATTTGATATGCATACTCATGAGGCAATTTTATATTTTGTGTTTATGGAATATCAGCTTCATCTTCATATCTGTTTTCAAAGTGGGGAGGAAAAATGCAACCACAAAAATATAAAATGCCATATAATCTCTCCCATGGCAATTGAGATACCACAAAATTGCTGCGTGTGCATGTGAACAAGGGAGATATTGCATTTTGTCGTTGAAGACTAAGATTTTAGAATGAACGTATATGTGTTCCATGCACAATTCTGTATTTCAGGCCCCAGCCCAGCATCTGTGCTATTTTCAAGTGGGCTACAAATGGGAAAAATACACTGTAGTACAATGCCTGCCTTGAACCCTGAGGTATCAGATGAAATGTGTTATGTATATTAACATAATTCTCAGTTTGACCTTTAAATATGGCTCATATTCTGCCTCAGTTTTCCAGGTACTGAGAAATAAGTCAGAACAGATTGGGATATGCTAATAACCAGAACAAGGTTTTGCAGAACATGCTTTTAATATTTTTATTTATAAAAGTTTATACCAAACTACTTTTGAGCTCCATATAACAAACATGGTATGAGTGCAGACAAGGATCGAAACTCAAGACTAAGATACCCAATGTAATAAAAGCCCCTATAATTGATGTCACTCAACAGTGTTCCCTTGAGCATCTGGTAAGTTAGGGCAATGCTGAGATACCTGAATAGGTTGATCTCATCTCTTGCTTCCCCAACAGGCATCGTAGGCTTTTTCCAGCAGGCTGCAGCAGAGGGAGAGATGAGAAATAAGGAGATTATCAGATTAGCTGAGAAACCAACCATTTTTGGCTCCTCCTATTTGTTTCTGTTTGTTTGGAATTTAGAATGAATTAATTAATTTAGAATTAATAGAATTTGTTTCTAATGCAGCTGGTTGTGATAAGACCATCAATAATTTCTGGCTGCATTTTATATACATTATATTCATTGCATAACTATTACATAAGAACTATATAATAATAAGATTTGATCCCTCACTTTGTTTTACTTTCCCCTGCCCATTCCCTTTTCTTTTATAGGCTATCTTATTTCTTGCACTTGAAAGTAGGGGCTGTCTTGGCTTACAGATCAATAAAAACATGTTCTGGGACTCTTCCTGGCAGAAAAACAGGACCTACATGCTTTCATTAATTAAACAAATACCATTAAAGCCCCATTACTGTTACAACCCACCATGTCTTCCCAAATCCTCCTACCCTTAATCTCTCATGCTTTGATCAAAACAGAAAAGAAAAAGAAAAGGCAATCTAAAAGGAATATAAATATTACAGTTTCTTTTCTGTGAAGCACAGAGCCCAGGAACATAAGAAGAAATCATTATATACATCAAAACATTTTGTATTTGTTTTGTAGGTTTAAATGTTAGGGTCATGCCTCTGCTAGATATGCCCATTTTTCCTGGTAAGCATATCTAACTGTTC